TTTCCCACCACTCATTTGACCACTCCGCACGATAAACCAGTGTTTCTTCCAAGCATAATGCCCCAACTTTTTCTCAGGAGGTGATTTCTCCAGCCAGCCTTTGCACAGCACATCATTGTCAGCTGATTGGAGCCCACAGCGGGCTTGAGTGGACAAGGACTCGGGATGCTGGGGCTGCTGGCTGCTGGTGTGTCACACACCCATATTTCTTCAATAATTTTCTTGCATTATTATTTAATCCAAAGTTAAAATGAGATCTTACCAGTACTTTGTCTCTTTAAACTTTCTCTGTGTTTTTGACGGTGATCTCCATTCCAATCCAATTCTCTTAGGAGTTGAGGTACCCCTTCTCCAGTGCCTTTATAATCCAACTATTTTAGGAGTTGAAGCACCCCTTTTCCAGTGCCTTTACAACCCAACTCTCTTTGGAGTTGAGACACCCCCTTCTCCAGTACTTTTGCAATCCAACTCTCTTAGGAGTTGACGTACAGACTTTCCAGTGCCTTTACAGCCCAACTCTCTTTGGAGTTGAGGCATCCATTATCCAGTACCTTTCTCCAATCCAACTCTCTTAGGAGTTGAGGTGCCTATTTTCTAGCACCTTTTGCAATCCACCCTCACAACTCCTTACTTTCTTACCAGCCTTCTGACAGTGATCTCTCAGGATTCCCTTTCTTTCTTGCTCTCTGTGGGCCCTCAATTTGTGGCTCCTCTTGGCCACCACTAAGTCCGAGTATTGGGCTAAAGCCTGGAGATTTGGATGAACCAAAAGTTGCCTGGTTCACTTTCTGAGAGATAGTCTCTAACTTTTATTGTGAAACAGCCTTGTATACAAACTTACAAAAATACCAGCTCAAAGGGTTCACATCAGGATCCTATTGGGAAAGATCAGAAAAACAGGAGGTTCCTCTGGTTATGCTGGAAAACAATTCTTAGAGACCCTGTGGGGGCTGGGTCCCAACACCCAATGAGTAATTAGATGGCTGAAACATTTCAGCAGGAACCAGTTGCACACAACGCTTGTGAACCCAATTTGGGGACTCGACATCCTGTGTGAAACCACAAACATAACCAAGGGCCCACACCAAAACTGGATCTGGCCCTTTCCAAAGACCTGAAGGAAGGTCTCTGCAATTAACCAAATGTCTTTTCTGTACAGTGGACCGCCAATTATGGTCTGCTGCGGAGTAACCAAAATTAAAGGTATAAGCCTTTAATTCCAGCACTTGTGAGGTAGAAGTGGGTGGATCTGTCTCCAAAGTTAGAGAGACCCTGTCTTGAAAAAACAAAACAAAACAAAAAAACACACACACAAAAAACCCCACTAAAGTGTTTTGGTCCCACTGAGACTGTTCAAACCGCACGTCCAAGGTGGTTTGCAACTTAGCTCAAGGAGTTTCTGAGTTTCTGTTAGGGCCTTGATTTGTTTCCCTCTGCCTTTAATCCCAGCACTAGGGTGACAGAGGCAGGCAGATCTCTGTGAGTTCAAGACCAGCCTGGTTCAGGAGAGCTAGTTCCGAGACAGCCTTAAAAGCCAGAGAGAAGCCATGTCTCGAACCCCCACCAAAAAAAAAAAAAAAAACCACTGTGAGAAAAGGTACACAAAACTTGGTTGTACTGAAACCGTCTCAAAAGCTCCCAGAGAAAAATCTTCTTTCAAAATGTAACCGTTGTAGCTTAGGTCTCTCCACCACCGGGCTCTGTTTTAGGACCAAGGAACATACATGAACAATGTTCCCATCATACCTAACTTGCCCAGTGTTTTTAGCAGAGTGTGCACTCCTCACACTCCCAAGCCTGATCTCAGTGTCTGTGCACAAATGCTTCCAATGGGCTCAACTGGGATGCTTGTCCCACACAGCGAGGCCCAAAGTGGAAGCACTTTCCAGTTCTGCCTCAGAGAGGGCAACCACACTGATGACCACAATGTGGGTTGTCCCCTTGAGTCTGGAGGCGCCTCGACCCCCCAAGACCTCTCCAATACCAATTCAGTTCCCGGCTACCGTACAAGCAATGTCCTGAGTCCTTCCTTCCCACTCAACCTTTTCCCCTCCATGCCCGCGGAGTCCAAGATGCCAGGACAACGCAGTTAACCCAGAAACGTGCTACCAAGGGACCCCATTGCAGCTCAAGTCCCAAGAGTGCCCCACATTATTCGAATGCTAGAGGAGTCTCTAAGAACTGAGGAAACCACCCTTTTGTCAACCGGCAGCACTCAAAACCTGGCAGCACTCTATTCCAGAACAAAAATTGCCCCCATAGTTTCAGTACCACAGGCTGACATGGTCCAGAGAGATGCACAAACCGAAAAAAAAATTTACCTGCCAGAAAACTGAAAACACTGGAACATTCCTGGCGTTGGTGGCGCACGCCTTTAATCCCAGCACTTGGGAGGCAGAGGCATGCAGATCTCTGTGAGTTCGAGGACAGTCTGGTCTCCATAGCGAGTGCCAGTATAGGCTCCAAGGCTACACAGAGAAACCCTGTCTCGAAAAACCAAAAACCAAACCAAAACAAATAAACAAACAAAAAACATTCAATAAAATGTGCCAAGAACCTAAATGATAAGTAAATTCAGGGTGGTTAGTATCCGATCCCAAAATTGATCCAAGTCTATTGATAATTTGGCTTCTCCAACAAATGCAATACAATTGCCTGAAACCCTCTGAAACTCCTGGAAGCATCATTCACAACCTCCACAAACACTCATAAAATTCCTACATTGCTAAAATTATATACAATCTGCCTGCAGGTCTTGCTTCCTATGAGGTAGGACTAAACTCAGCTGACTTGGGGCCAGGAGGCCGAATCCTTGGCTATGTTCATTTAAAATTCTAGATTTTACAAGTGCTGGTCAGTGCTAGCTCAAGCCCATAATCCTAGTTAGGCAGGCAGACCTGTTCATTCGAGGCCAGCAAAGTCTACAGAGCACATTCCGGGACACGCTCCAAACTACATAGAATACCAAAATTTCTGAAAGTAGGCCCTTGGTGGTGATGAGGAAGGCAGAAGTGTGTTACTCAGCCTGACCCAGGTGGTAATATGGCGAAATTAAAACCAACTCATCCAATATCCATATCAAGCCTACACCTGACTCTCAAAGCTAAGGTCCTCGGTTTCAAATCCTAGAACAGAAAAAAATTACCTTTCTGACAGAGAGAAAGCCGAACTCGAAAGGTGGAGCAGAACATCCTGACAAGCACCAACAAGAAGTCTCTGGGAAGGGGAGAGGCTCTAGTATTTACATAGTCTGAGGGCTCATTGGCCCCCTGGAGGGGAGGCTCTGGAATCCCTCTCCCCACCCGGGACCATCCTTACCCAATCAACTCTGTGTCCTCAGTTCTGATGCTGACTGGGGCTGAATGACCTTCAGCATCCATGCCCTGCTCCCCAACCATCCCGTGTCTTCCCCCCCCATCCCCAGAGGAGGAAGTGGATTTGTTTGTTTGTATCTATGTTTTTAAATGGCTAGGGTCTGTGTGGAGTGGTTTCTTTTTTGTAGCAATTATTGAGGCTGAGTCTCAGGCTGTGGGAAGGATCGCTGTTAGTTCATTCCCCGGGGGTCACAATCATGAATTCCTGACTGGGCAGGGTACATAGTGAAATTCAGCATTTGGTTTTTGTTTTGGGGGTCCTTTAAGGGATTCTGGATAGTATTGGAACCTATCCTAGCCTGAACTATCTGAGAACCATCCTTGTCTGCCCCCTGGGTGCTGGGATGAAAAGGAATTTGCCACCACTGCCTGGCTCCATA